CATATTTATCTAAAAGATTATATAATAGAAGATTAATGCAGCAACTTTAATATTTATACATTTAAAAATGTACACAGGAGGTGCTCAATGTGAATTACTATTATTTTGTACTCCTGAAACCTTTTGTCTAGATTTTTAACAAATGGTATGGTATCTAAATGTGATCTTTTTATTTTAAATCATTGCCAATTACTATACACAGAGATCTGTCGCACGGGACTTTGATTCTGTTAATATGATTCATAATACAAAACCTGTACTTTTTTTTTAAATACAAAGCTTGTATTTAAACAATTCTTTCAAAGTCAAGTTGTAATTCTTTTAGGTAAAATATAGTAAGTATTTCTGGCTAATTAATAACATGCATACACATAGCATGTAAGGCATCTCTTAGAATTGATTTGTTAAATACTGTCACAGAGCACCTATGCAACAAAAAGAACACCTCAGTCTGACCTTCCAAATAAAATGTAGTGTTAAAATAATCACAAAATATAGAGTGACCGTATTTTGAAAGAAAAGAGACTGGTGCAAACTTCATAGAAAACCCACATCACAGCCAGATTTGGCATCACCAGATGACATGAGAGGGGACTTTTGTTCTGAACAACAGTGCCACTCAGTGGCTGAACAATGGTAGTGAACTGATCAAGAGTATGAATGGAGGGTGGGCAAAAAGAAAAATGGAATTTTGGAGTAGGCAATGAGAATACTGCAGGCAAAGAGATAAACTACGTTGCCATGGTAACTGTACCTTGGAGGTCAGTTAGAGTCTGGACAGGAACAGAAACCTGAGCATCGCTTCCTGTAACTACATCGCCTGGATTTCATAAGAAAAAATAATTAGATTTCATAAAAAGGAAAAAAAATCAACTTTACTTTTTTCATACTTAATACTTTTATCAGTCTAATTAGTAAAAGTACAGCAAAATAAAATACAATCTCAGAAAAGTTAATATAAAGTATTTTTTAAAGGCAATAATTTTTAAAAAGTGTTCCCTAAAAAGTTTAGTGCGTGTTTTTCTTCAAGAAAACAAAACAAAACAAAAAAGAAGTTGCCCCTAGTCTAAAGCAGAGGAAAAATTGAGCGACCAAAAGATCCTGCTGAGATTTCATTATGCTAGAAACAGTAGTGTGGTATAACATTTTCTTTCTTTAAAAAAACTCTTAACCCAAAAATAAGTTATATGCATTTATTAAATAGGCATTCTTTTGAAACTGATTTTCTCCTGTAACAGAGAGAAGTTATTTTTAATTAAACTTGAAAACAATTTCTTCAATGATAAGATAAATACCTAAACAAGCTCTAATTTCATAGTAAAGTATTGAAAAGATTTAGTGAGTTACCACATGTGCTTACAAATGTCAACATATAAAAATAAATCTGTGAACTGCACACCCTTTAAACCTGATATACTTATTATAGGCAAGATTTCATTCACAAATTGGACCTATGGTAAATGCTCAAAAAGAAGTGTTCGACTTCGAAGGAAATGGGGAGAAAGGGAGTGCGTTTTAAAAGTGCAGGAAAGAAAGGAAAAGGAGCACAACTGGAAATTCTGTGAGGAACTTGAGGTGCACTCCCATTGACAAGGAAGACTTTCTGTTCTCAGATTTCCTTCAGGATGACCAAGTTCAACATCAGGCACGGTCACTGTCAACAGAATAAGCCTCTCAGCATCTGAAGGCCTAGCCTACTTTGAAATTAACAAACTAAAAACCAAGCCTTCTTAAAAGATACTGTATTTTCCATATTTGATAATGTAGGATTAATAGACTTCCTTCCTTTGTAGCTTTTACAATAGTAAAAAATCAATTTCTGATTTATGTATCACACCCTCAGTGCCTTGACCACTTGCTATAATTGTAATTGACAGCACAGACAGCTCATCTGGAAATTACTGGTTTGTAATCATATTGTCCCCATCAATTAACATTACACATATTTTGAGATACACACACACACACACACACACACTCACATACATATCTGTATCTCCTGTGACTGAAATAAAATCTATAAATAGGTACATACTCCAAACAGCAATAAGCAGCTTTTAGTGGAATTTATCAGGTTCCTGAATTTTCATAATATTGTTAACTCTCTGTTCACTGATAAATGGAGTATCTACTTTATATATATTTGAAGGATATTTTCAATTCTATTTTGAATTGAAATTGAAAAAGCAGCTACTTTTCTCTGCTGCTTCTGGATCACCTATTAGTGTATAATTAGGGATTGAAAACTTGTTTTAATATTAAATACCACCAGAAAATTTGGAGGAACATTTGTGCTCCCTCTTCTTTCTTTCACAACCCTGCTCCCAACACATACATAAACAACAGTTTGCGTTTCCAGCACCATATATGTGAAATTTGGGTTTTCCATACAACCATTCCCCTATATAATCACAAATAACCGGGAGTCAACTAACCTAAGAAGATTCTATTCTAAGCTGTTTCCATTTTTAGAAACAATCATTTTTCAAAGCAACTTCCAAATTTTCCAGCAGAGTACGCTAAAAAGGCTAATATGTTCTTTCTCCTCAAAGGCACCAGGTAGGCAACCTTTGAACCTCAGAAGAGTGTTCTGAGACAGTCAGAAGCCACATTCCAACACAAGCCTCCAGACAGGCTACAGATTGTGCTCACCAATCTCTGGGATCAGGTGATGCACTTGCAGATTTGTCACTGTCACAGCACAGCAGGATACTTGTAGGAAACACCAGCATAAAGACCCAATGCTGGAGAAGTATTTTTCCTTGTAGAGTTAACAAATCCATCTTGATAGCTGTTTGGAGCTGGGAGGCTCCCCTGAGAGAAGTCCAAACCTTTTACTTCAGGGTGAGGAAACAAGTGGTCAGAAGGGTTCAGGACTGTGCTTACAGTTAAATATTTTGTGAGTGAGTCAATGAGAGAAGAGCAGCAGCCTACACTGACTTCTACTTGTGTCAACTGTTCTTTTTGCCTTTTACTCTGTTTCATTCAAACTTTAATGCAGGGAGGGGCATTAGCAGGAACAGTTATCCTTGAGATGAAGGTAGACAAGCTTTTCATGATTGACATGAGAAGAATGAACCAGAAATAAAAAGAAGAGTTGCCAAACAAGGAGACTTTCTCTCAGCACAGGGATCAGTTACAAAATGCCCTAGTGATACTCATGTTCCAAATACTTTGCTTAAGTGCTCTGCTGTCTCCTTTCAACTGGGGACTTCGTTTTCATCAATTGTTCCATCCTCATGCACTTCCTTTCTCACTTACTGTGATATTAATACTTGACATTTCCTTAGAGATACAACTTTATACTTCTACTGTCATTTGGCTTGGTTCCTCAGAAAATTTAAGCTATAGCATTAAGAGATTCTCTGACTCATTTGCCTGCCATCAGTTAGAATTACTACAGACTATGGTTTGTTATCAAAGCAATACTGAAATCATATTTGGTTAGAACAATAAAACAGTACATTAAGAAATATATAAAATAACATTCATTTCCATTCTGAAAGTGGGCATGTCTCCTGGTATTAAAATACATTTACAATGTGTTAGTGATTTGAAGTCCTCTTTTCTTTAAGTCATGTGTGATAACTTTACATTAAAAAGAAAAGAATGTAGTTTTAAATGAGATATTCTTGTGTAAGGCAAACTGAATATTCTAACCAAAACTTATATACTAACTATATACAGTCTAATACTTCATATAGGTGTTGATAGAGAACACCATGGAATGGGATAATAAAGGTTCGCTTGTTATTGAATAATACTCATTATTTGCACCATTGAGGAATAAAGTCCATTTAATTTAAGCTTATCAGTTTAAATGCCAAGAATTTAAAATTAATAGTTTTGGATGCAATCTTCTTACATAGAGTATATGAAATATGGTTTGAGGTCTTTTTACCAATCCAATATTAATATGGTTATTCTCAACACCAGTGACTGAACATGGCTACAACAAGGGGTCCCTTTAAGACATGAATGAGGCATGGGTCAGGGTATTTGTGCTGACACTAAATAGCCACAGACTCTCTGCTTTGTGGGGTCTTAGGATTGAATTTTGTAGATTTTCTGCCATGATGTTACTATTTCTTGCTTCTATAGTATAGATAGCAGAGTCCCACCACTAAAAATAAATGCAGCTGTTTCTAATCTGCTATGAATAGGGGTACTTAATATATAGGTCTCTGCAAATCGGGGAAAATAGGAGCATAAAGGTTCTAAGAACTTGAAGGGCTCTCTTATGAGTAAAATACATGTGGGAAATGAAGTACCGCAAAGGCTATGACACACAAAATGAGCTTAGGTGAGGCTGGGCAGCAATGGTGCCACTCTCAGCACTGCGAGCAGAGCCCTCACTCCTCAAACAACAGCTCTGGATGACACAGTCTCCCACGTCTCTCTGCTCTGACCTACAGACCTAAATCTTAGTGCATGGACTCACAGACTTTGGCCACTTGTGGTTCGGTTTAGCTTTTCTCCCCTACCCCTTGCCCCTACAAGGGTCTGATCCTCCTCTGGGTTAAAGCAGATAGATGAGTGGCTGCCAAGCCTAGGGGCACGCTTCTGCCAATATCCAATGGCATGGCCTGGAGAAATGCTACAACTACAAAAGCCCATGCTGTTGGAACTGACCATTTCCAATTCTCTTCTAGCCAGAAGCACCATCATACAAGAGTTAGCAGGATCACAGTTAACCACTTTCAAGTTTTGTGTTGTGATAGTTTGTGCCACACACTACAGGCGTCCACAGGACTCAAATGCAAATACATTAGGATTGAAATGTTAAAGAAATACCTGAACAAATTATTTCAAAAAATGTTATTAAGAACAATATAGTATCTGATATTCCAACTTAAAAAGGATCTAACACAACAGATTTTTTACAATTAAGTTTTGCATTGATTTCTGTCTCTAGGAGGTTGGTTCCTCAAAGACAGGTGAGGAAATCCCAGGCTACACCGCAAGTGTTTTCTTCAGATTTATTGGTATTTTTCCCTTACCTTTGTTCAATTGCACAGGCATGCTTTCTGACTTCATCAGTCTCTGCTGTTGCTGCTGCTGCTGTTGTTGCAAATGATGCCTGGGGACCTCTGCTAAGGTCCTGGTGGAGACCACAGTAGTGGAAGAGCTGCCACCACCACCTACTGGTACAGGGCCACTTGCACTGCTTGGGGTGGTCATTGCTGGAGAAATCAACTTTCTTCCAAAATTAATCAGGCTATTAGAGACCTTATTTATATTCAGAGGAGCACCTTTGGCATTGGTCCTGTAAAAAAAAAAAAAAAGGTAGAGAAACATCACTTAAGTTGGAGGACAACTCTATTTCACATATTCATTTGTATAAAAACATAAATCACCTGCTTTGAAAAAGGCCATTTACTAGATCAGCTATACAAAAATGAAAAGTGAGAACTCAAAAGAGATCACAATATACTAAAACAACAAAATTATTCAAGAGGTGGCTTATGGAAAATAGTCTTTTTACTTTTCGTTCATTTATTCAATGAATGGGACCTATGTTGTGCTAACACTGTGTTAGGTTCTAGGAATACAACTGTCCAGGACATAGTTATTCTCTTGGAGTTTCCAGTCTTATAGGGAAGGAATATATGAAATCATCACTTTAATAAAGCAAAGTTAAAACCTGTGATGAGGATTCTAAAGAAGAGGTACAGGGCTGGGCCCGCCTTGAGGTACTCACAGAAGGCGGCATGTATGAAATGGAGTGGACAGTAGACTTCTCACAAGCCCTAGTGTGTGGGTATCAGGCCACATTTAATCTGATTTTGAAAAATAAATGTGTCTAAGAGTCACGAGACCAATTCAATCAAAATTACCTAGAGTTGCCCAGTACTGGAGAATTGTAATCCACCTTCAGCACTCTGACCAGCCCTGGCTGTCCATAGGCCCTACCCCACCACCCTGCTTTACTTTCCTTGATGGCACTTTGCATCATCTGATGTACTACATATTTTACTTGGTTATTATTGACCATCTCCTCCAATCCCCGTTTGAAAATTTCATAAGACAGGATTTTTGTCTCTCTGCTATATACTGCCATTGCCTAGCATGTAAAAGGTGTTTTATAGATGTTTGTTAAAAGGCAGTTGCATCTACCTGTAGTCTAAGTCTTTCTACTTTACAGTGAAGAGTCCCTACTCCTAGCCATAGCCCTGGATCCCATCCTCTGTCCTTCTGAGACTGCTGCTCTGGCCCCTCTCCCTCCTGCATCATCATTTTCTCCTTCTTTATGTGTATTCCCATTACCATACATCCATGGGGCGTGTGTGTGTCTGTGAGCTTGTGCATATACATGCATGGACATACCCATGCAAACTTAGCCTTTGAACTCTCATTCCTTTCAAGTCACTGTCCCACTTCTCTCCCTCCTCACAACATATTTTTTTTTCAAAAAGCTGTCTTATGTGCTACTTCTGGTCCTTCAGTCCTAGGCCAACTATGACCTGGTTGTGGTCTTCTTGCCATTGCTCAGAAACCACTCCTCCAAGTCCCCAGTGATCTCAGTGTTGCAGAGACAACGGCCCACTCTTATTTTATCCTACCCTCAACAGCAGTGACCTCCCTTAACCACCTCTCCTGTCACACGCTTCCTCACTCGGCTGCCATGGTTGGCCAGCACCTGTGGCAAATGGAGTGGAGGACACCACATAAACATCACTATGGAAGGACTACTGCATGATTACCTCCCAGATGATTCATCATCTTGAAGTACCTCAGGGATATTATCTTGAATACCAGTTATGATTATAATTATTTTAGTTGTAAAAGGCAGTCCAATTCCATGACAATACCAAAGTTTGTATTTATATTGCCCCCATCATTATCAGAAGCTTATTTTCTCACATTTTGCTTCTTCGTTTTCTTCTTTTTTTTTCCCCCAGAAAAGGAGAAACTGAAAATCAAGTCTGAGGAATGCGTTTACTTGATTGGATTTAACTTGAATTTTACTATCATTTCCTTCTCTCAGATCTCCCTAGCAGCTCTTATGCAGTAATTCTCCTACACCTTATATAACAGCTGTATCCTTGGCATTGCTAGATATGGCTCTAAGATGGAACTGATCCACAGTTCTTTAATAAAAAGAACACTATGCTTCTTCCTTTCATAAAGTTTTTCTCTAATGGTACTAGCTAATATTATGGGCTAGGTATTTGAGACTGACATTACTTTGGAGACAAGACAAATTTAAAACCTGGAATTCAGTTTTATGAGAGAAAGATGTATTCATTTACAACTCAGTGAAATGTGAAAAAATCATTTTTCAAATGATTTTTTGCATCAAGTTTTATCTTTAAAGAACTGAACTATTTAAGGCCCTTCCAAAAATTATTAAAATAATATTTCTTAATGGAGATAAGGATATATAGTGATTACGCACCACTTACTTCCAGTTTCCAGCTGCTTCCTAATGAAGTACAGCATTCTCAATTTACAGACACTACAGCTTGCAACAGAGAAGGCACTCATACAAGTTTATTGAAAAAAGAATGAATGAAATGAAAAGAACTCATAAATTGTGGATTAAGAAGGCATTCACCTCTGGCATTGTATTCTACTCAGCAGCCTGTATGCATTCCTATTTCTTCTGCATGGCAGTAGGAAGAAGAGCTATCATGATATTGAAGTTCTACTGCATTTTAGTTTTACTTGTTTGCAAGTCAAGATTCATAATTCACAGATATGAAGAAGTTATAATGTTGTTACCCTTTTTTATAAACAAAAATGTACTAGTCAAATTCCCACACTGCCAGTTGTGAAATTTATATGTTGATAAAAGTACTAAGAAACTGCTGAAGCATTATCAAGAGAATATGGTTAATGCATCTTCATTGCTACTAATAACCACGAAAAAACATATAGATCAAGCTCATGCCAAACAATTTTTCATCTGAATAGCTCTTAAAAGGGGATGAACACTGTTTTCCTTTTTTTGAATATTTTTTGTTTTCAACCAGCTTCCCTCTCATCCACTACCCATTGCTTCCAGAAGAATATTTTCTTTTCAAAACAACTACTGAAGATGACTCTACATCTTTTCAGATATAAACAACTGTAAACCATATACTTCTGGGGAAAGCATGCTGTCTATAGTTTTTCTCTGCTAGACGACAATTTTTTTGGCCAAAGATAGCTAACACAGATCTTAAATGTCAGTAGCAGCATTCTTTATAAGAATTCCTAATCAATTTGCCACAATTATGATTGGCTATTATGTAATGTGTGCTAAATTAATGAAAATTAATGCAGTTGTCAGAGATCCGATGGACATCGCGTACTGGGTTGGATTAACAATGGAGTGCAATGTGTAAACAGTACTGAAATAAATAGAGGACTCTGGAGTTAACAAGACATTAAATAAATCTAATGAATAATTTTGTATCATCAAAATCTTTCATTATTACTAATACATACTGTTATTAAATAACAATAAAAATAGTACCAAATGGGAGGGATTGTTTTGAGATTGTTATCAAGACCTTACTTTTGGCACGACCGTATTTAGCAATGGGGCACTTTCTCAAGATTCAAGAATCCTCAAAACACTTGTATCAAGGGATCCCTGGGTGGCTCAGGGGTTTAGTGCCTGCCTTTGGCTCAGGGTGTGATCCTGGAGTCCCGGGATCGAGTCCCACATCGGGCTCCCTGCATGGAGCCTGCTTCTCCTTCTGCCCATGTCTCTGCCGCTCTCTCTCTCTCTGTGTAGTCTCTCATGAATAAATAAACAAAATCTTTAAAAAACAAACAAACAAACAAACAACCACTTGCATCAGAACCCAAACTAGGTTCACTGTTGGGCCCCTTTGGTTCAGTTTCTAAAATTCTAAAAATGAGTGACTCTTGCTGCCTCTTCCTACCCAACTGACCCCTTGCAGCCTGGCTTTCTAACCAGAGCTTCTAGCGTTTCCAATGCCTTAACTGCTAGAGCCATGAGCTGTTTTCATTCAACTTCTAAAACTTTTATAAAGCTTAAAAAAAAACAGCCCAAAAAACCAAACCATTATCACATGACCACCTTGTAATAACTTTCCACAATTGCGGAGATTTTCTTCTTCTAATATCCAAACTTTGACACCACCCTAAGCTTTTGCCTTTTTATCTATGGATTTATTTTTTAGGTCTGATATTAAATATATAATATTTTAGTCCTTTTGCAAAAAAATTTTTGTTATATGCTTGTTTGTATTTTTGTCAGAGTTTTCAATTTATCTGTAATTATTTTTCTCTATATTCTGATTTATATTTTTCTTGTTATTACCTTTCTTATGTTTCCAAAGGTCAAATTCTTGGTTCATTCATTCACTCATCCACTCATTCTCATTCATTCCCTCTCTTTCCCAATAAAAACATTTAAAGCTATACATTTGCCTCTGATTATAGCAATGGCATCAACGTTTTTCCCACACATTTTCTAAGTAGTCCATTGGCTCAATTGTTATTTAGGTACACTTTAAAATTTCAGATGGCTGGGTTTGTGTTTAAATAAAACACCCATTTTGTTTTGTTGGATAAAAATGGAAATATCAAAAGACTGGAAGTGGGGGAAATGTTCTAATTTTTCAAAAGGATTGTAGAAACCACCAACTGGAAAACAGACACCAAACCACAGACCCAGAAGGCTCAGAGAACACCAGGCAGGGTAAATGCCAAGAAAAATATACTTAGTCATATCATTTTTAAACTACAGAAAATCACAGTTAAAGAAATAAATCTTGAAAAAAACCAGGAGAAAAAAAAATCTTACCTATATGCAAGAGCAAAGATAACCAACTTCTTAGAAACCATGCATGCAAGAAGAGAGAAATATCTAAAATTTTGAGAGAAAAAAACTCGCCAGCCTAGAATTCTGTACCCTGTAAAATTATCCTTCAAAAGTAAATATGGTATCTGTATAGTAAATATATACTATCTTTAATAGTAAATATAAACATGTGACTAGAAATAATAGGTAAGTGCCTACATTGCAGAAGCTAACTGTAGAGTTATGGCAGACAGCTTTTGGCAAGGCATTAATTTATGGCAGAATTGAGATGTGTGTTTATAAAATGGAGAACAGTGGGGAGGTATGAAAATTATGCTGGAAGAAGAATGGCTTAAAAAGCTGGGGAGCAAGTCTTACAATAATCATGAGAGCTGCCAAGGGGAAAGCAGTCCTTTATGAAAATGAAATGAGTTATAAAAGTTACAGGAAACAGTTCAAAAAGAAATCCTTTCTAATGATTTAACAGGATCTATTTAAAATAGTAA